AATGTTCTTTATGCCTGGTCCAAAGGGTAAAGAATAGGTATTCTCCTATTTGGTACAATACAATTTCAACTAATTCAATTTATCCATTCACTTAAATTTCTTGACAAGGAGAATGATGTTTTCTTATATGTTGAACTTCACATTAGAAACTTTATTAGTAGAATTTGTTAATTAAGAGTTTATTAAAATTATATTTTTATTTCAATTGCCTATTAGTGACAAATATGCAATTTGAACTATATTATTGTGATTAAGTATTGATTTTTTAAATCTTAGTTCGTAGCCTATAATATTACTCCCTGTGGGATCGATATTCAAGACTCCATTAGAGCCCTGTATTACTTGAGCGATACGTATACTTGCGTTGATAAGTGTGATTTTGCAATTATTGAATATTTTATACACATCTTTATCAAATCTATAACAGTTGTCAAGTTTTTGGCGTCGTTGTCGGCGATTTAAATCTTCTAGCAGCAGTATCAAATTCTTGTATTTTTAAGCATATATAAAGTCGCTGTCAACAGTTGGTGTGGATTGATTGCTTAATTTAATAATAAGCAACAAAGTGATTGTTGATGCAGGTGATGTTAGGGGTTGATAGTTAGCAATAGAGGTCATCAACATTCGAAAACAATCAATGTTAGCAATGAGAAATATTGGGTGGCATTGGTAGATGTTGATGTTTGGAAATGATTGATATCAAGTGCTATCAAATAAAATTTTGAAAATCTTAGAGTTAGGAAATCCTCTCATCTATACCATAAATTAATTATTTCATTTGGTCCTTCATAAAATCGAGTCACATCATTTATAAGTGATTCAATCTTATTCTACTTGATATGAATATTACTTTGATAGATCTTTAAAGGACTTTGAAAGTTGAAAATTTTACCTTCTTTGTGATAACTTTCTTCTTCCTTTAACTTTGTAGGTGGTCCCATTCTTTCGGCTTTTCGAAGGTAAAACAAATTAGATCTTTTATGGGGATGTCGCTTGAGGGGGTTGACATGTTCTCCGTCACAACACCCGAAAAACAACTGATTCAAATAAAAGTTGTCAAGTGAATAAGGGATGAGAAAGAGTCATGTCGTGCCTTATCTATAATAATCAAATTCGCGAAGATCAAGAGAGTTTAAATATTGAATCATTGATTTATAATAATGTGGTCAACTTTTTTTGTTAAACATTTTTATTTTTTTCAGGCAGTATTGCTTCCAAGTAATAAGAGAATCAAGAAATTAAGATATGTACATAAAAAATCTGTCAGTACTAATTCTAAGGAAACCTAACGGTCCAAAAGAGAAGTGCGACAAAAGAAAACCCACATATAGAAAATTGTGAGGCCAATTTGTCCAATCGAGTGAAGCTATTCGAGCCAAACTAGCAAGTGCTAAACCGATCGAGCCGCAAAAAAATAAAAATACAACAGAATGATTCAAACCCGAAACATTCGGCTAAAAATAAGACAAAGAAACATCTGAACCAAACATTACCAGAAAATTGATCAAAGGGAAGATTTTTTTCCCAATTATCTTAAAAAATCCCATAAACACCTAGAGGGTCCTCATCATGTGTCAAGGATCGACAGTTACGCCATATCACCGGGTGAATCATATTGACCAAGTTGATCTCATCCGCTCGAGCAGATCTCATCCGACCCAGTTGATTATGCAGACTCTAAGTAGGCTAATGATGGCTGACCAAAAAGAAAGTAGTAGGGCAACATACTTGCAAATGTGATATACCAAAAATACCCCAGTACATACTCCTATAAAATAGGGAAAAAAATGTAACAACGCCACATTATATCATGCCTTCTATTTATCATTTGTGGATCATTATTCATGATTATTCGCTTCTCTCTTTGTCTCTCTTGTCCCTCTGATTCACGGACAAATCATGATTCAACAATGCTCTTTATTAGGAGTAATAAATAAAGAGAATGTAATTCAAATCGACTTGGAGAAGGGTATTACTTGTCCACTCATCATTATTTTATGAAATATGTTTTAATGCAAATTCTTTAAGCAGCGTACCAATTAAGAAATCAAATGCAAAATTAGGATTTCAAATGAAAAAAAAACGAAAATCTTTGCATAATGTTGAATCCTCTTTGAGACACGGAACTTTATTTAAAACACATAATTGCAAAAGACTATAAGAATGAAAATTCTAAAACATACATGACTAACTCTAAATTTAATTATTTATTTTGTAATTTTGGGCTGATTCTCAACTCTCTCACAATCTGCCCTTACCAAGAATTCCATCGCTGCCGTTCCATGTCCGATTGCCTCATCGGACGGCCATGAAACAATGTCATAACAGAATCGTAACGGCCCCGCCGTCTTCAGACAAGCAAACGTCCAACATCACCACACGCCACGTAAGAGCAGCGCAGCTTCTCTAACAGTTCAGGCCACGTGGCATCCAATTCAGAAGCAAGAGCTAAACCTCAGGTGGGTTTCCATCAGTGCGATGAGCCGTCGGATCTATTTGAAGCAATGTTTTCTCTGCGCCGCGAGCCGCAGCCGAAATTTTGCATGTTGCACGAAATTCGGTAATGGCCGACTATAAATTAAGATCCCAAGGCTCTGCATCACTTCTTTGGCCTTTCAGTTGATTGAGATTTTCATTTTTGAAAAAGCAATGGCGGCGTCGTGGTCGTGAGAGAGCAAGAACAGAGCGGAAAGAAACTGCTACAGGCGGCGGTCGGATCGCGAAATGCCGCCGGCGGTGATCTTGGATCCGACTGCAAAACGGAAGCAGAGATCAAAGATATATGGGCTGAAAACGTTCATGGATCCCGGGTGCCCGATGGATTTCTTTGGCGCTTTCAGGGACAACATCAAAGAGTTTCTCCGGCAATGCAGCGATGCCGAGCAGCGGCCGACGGAAGGAATG